CCTCTGCAGGGCCTTCCTACCCTCAAGCAGACCAACACTCCCACCCAGTATGGTGGGAGTTTCTATGCCCCAGAACAAATGTTTTTCCTGTGTGTCTTATGAAGGTGTCTTTCAAAGATGCTATTCTAAAGACAGGCTGTCTGTGTTTGTTATTGGACTTAATGTTTCTCTTATGTTTATGCTTTCTTGACTCATGTCCACCACCACCCCTCCCCCCCCCGCGTTTTCATCCTCATGCATCTGGTTTTGATTGCTGCTTTCTTTCTGATTTCATCTTGTCTTTCAAGTGTTGCTCATGAGTCACAGGAGAACCTTTTTCTCAGAATCTCTGCTGCTTGTGGTGCTGTTTGGATGCAGTTGTCTTGTTGAACTGTGTAGATGACAGGGCTTCTTACCTAGTGTGGTGTTTGTGATTTTTTTTTTTTTTTTTTTAAATCTACAGAGGCTGTTAAATTGTCATTTTGTCTTGACATGAACTGATACTAGGTCACACAGCAGTAATTTTGTTCATTCGTCTATACTACTATGGATATGTTGAAATCATACACTTCTACATCCTGCTGTCCTAATATTTTGCCCACCTTACTTTTTGCCTTTGTTGGTAACTGAGTTTACAATTCTTGAGGGTTTCTTTTCTTTAAAAATAAAGGAGGAGGAAAAGCACTTTATATGAGCTTGAAAATAATTTCTCAATATTAGTAATGAGTATTTTCATTTTCTGGAAAACTAGGAGTTTTCAACCCCTTAGAAAACCCTTAGACACTGAGTCATTGCTAACAGAATCACTTGATCACTTGAAAATCACTCGACACCCCAAAGCAATGGCATTAAGAACTTGAGAAGCTCTAAGATAAAATCCTTCTCTTTGATGTGAAGTGAATGTACATGTTTGAAGAGGGCAACTTGATTTTGCATCTGCTAGGGGATACTGTAGGATGCTGGATTTTGTGTGGGATGCCAAGGGTGTTTTGAGTATTGCATTGACTGATTCAGTATCTTTTGGAAGCAAAAACTCCCTTTGTAGGAGTTTTGTTATATCCATGTGGTGTTTGCATGGTGTGTATGTGACTTGGATCAACGAGTATTGTAGCAAAGTTCTAATTTCTTGAAGTTATGCCTATGGAGAGAGTTACTCACAAGTCTTGGTTACTGACTGGGCTCAAACCAGTTGTATCATCCCTTCATGACACTTTTAGGAACAACAAATGTGTTTTCAGTTTGTGTCTTGCTTTTTGGAAGTTAAAGCTACCTTGCATCTCTAGGGACCAGATTCTCTGTTAACAAGTGGCTGAAATATGTATCTTGAGTTGACCTTTTCCCTAACCTCATTTTTCTTCTGTAAACGAGTATGTAAGTGCTGCTCCCACAGCCAAGAGGGTGCAACTATATTTACATTTGAGGAGAAACACAGCAGAATTAGGGGAATAGGGTTTGATTTCTAACTTCTGTGAATAAACTTTTTTCTGTTTGTCAGTAGAAAGGAGCTCTGTGATTTTGTTAGCTTATTTCTTTCAGAAAGGACTGCGGTTTCAACTTTGGCTTACAAACCCAGAGCCTCTTTCTTGCAAATTGTCAACATTTTTCAAACTTAAGGGTTAAAACACTGTTTGATAGGTTATTGTCTAAAACATCATGTGTTGACTTTTTAAACAAAACATGGTATCTACCTGTAAGTGACTCTTACTGTTAGAACTAGGTTCATCATTAGCAGTTGTTTTGGTTTAGGTGGGTACTGCTGCTACCAAGAAGCTCTTTGGGAGTCATCTCCTGTGCCTTTCTGATGGTCACACAAGAACTGTTCTCAGAAGCCTTGAAGTTGAGGAAACCAGTTAGGCGTTTTCCAAGATAACAGAACAGTTTTTTGTAGTGATGATGAGGGCTATAGCATCAAGCAGCAGTCTTGACTCAATCACAATTCTATTTATTATGTTGGGATGGTTGTCTGAGAGGAGAGGTTATGATGAACTACAAATGAGTGGTCGTTATGAACTGTAATGAGAGCTCTGAAGAATGATATCGTTTGAAAGCCCATCTTTGTGCCCAGCAGTGGAACAGCTGGGGAGCATTTGGTTTGCAATGGGGCAGAATTACCACAAGAGGGAGATGCTGGCTTGGATTTTTAACTTGGCAGCTCCATCTAGTGTTCACCTTTCCTGAAGTTTACAGTTATATTTACAGCTGAATTAAATATTCAGTGTTTCTCTGAGTAGTTTTCTTCTATGCTGTTAGTAGGCAGTGTTCTTTAGAAAGTAGAGATAAAGTGGAGCTTTTTTCTATAGATATTTTAGTTAACTGTTTTTGAAAGGCAAGTAGAACACGTTCAGTATAAATGCTGTCACTTGTCACAGTCTGCATTAATTATGCTCTGAGATGGTAAGCATACATTTAAAATGGTTTTGGGTTTGGTTTTTTTTTTAACTTGCACGAAAACTGCAATTAGCCAGCTTAAATGTATATACTGAAAGCTGATCAAACTATATTCACAAATCATTTTTGTAAAAGACTGATTTATATTTATGCAAGTTTAAATTGATACAGTCTCTGTTGTAAAACAGATGCACTCACTGCTATGTTTTTAATTGGGGTTAGGGGTCAGGCAGCCCTAACTTGACTGTGGGTGACATTTATTTAACAAAGTTACTTTTGAGTTGTGTGTGTAAGGTAAGCCACCTTTGTTGGACTGCACAGCTCTGAAAGACTTCTGGGTTTGGCTCCTCTGTGGCAGAACTTGATGCTGCTGAGGGTCTCTTAGGCTTTATCCATCTTAGAGTTCAGATTATTTAATTCTTCTGATGTTAGTGACTGCTTATAGAAAATTTTGGACTTTCACTAGAGGCCCATGGATGAATCTGAGTGGATTACATGTCTTCTCCATATGAAAGTCTGTACTTTCTCCAACTGTCTGATCTGCAGGGTAATAATTATTATGATTAAGATACCATATGACTTCCATAACAACAGGCCAGTGCATATCTTTTGATGTTCTTTTTCCAGGCTGCAGATACAAATCAGTGCAATAGTCTACTTGCATTTTGTCTTGAAGATTATGATTTCAAACATAGAAGGCAAGACACTGACTTAAATACAGGTCCAGATTCTCAAGCACAAAACAACAGCCTGCAGGAAAAAGTGCTGTTTGCCAGGATGGGGTTGGTTGCTTAGCAATGAGCTAATTATCTAGAAAGAGACCCAAAAAAGTGATCAGGATGGTTTGAAAACATAGTTTGAGTAAAGGAGTTTTTAAAGTCAGCAGTGTTTAACAGTTTGGATGTGGAATTTGAAGTGACCAAACTCTGCAGAAGCTCTGATTTTTTTGAGTTGAATTTAGCATGATTATTTAATTATTTATCCTGTCTTTACTTTTCCTGTACCACTAAGTGTGCAAGTCAGTGAGACCTGATAAACTGATAGATGTTGATCCTTTAGCAAACCCTGCAGTATTCAGATACAGAGAAATGTAGGGTTTTGTCCATCATGGGGACACTTGATGAATTACTTTGCTATGTGAAGTATGTTTCTCTTCCAGCTTCCGCTCATCTTGAGCATTGACTCAATTTGTCATATTGTAATATTATGTACTGTCTTGATTATTTCAAGAAGACCTAAGGATCCAAATATGCTACAGGCTGTACTGAAGATTCATAAAGAGTTAAAGCTTGATGTGAGACTGTGATCTTGGACAGGAACTGAGTCCAGAGCGAGATGAGCTAATAGAGAAGAACATTAATGTAAATTGTGGGACCATAAAACTGAGTTTATTACTCTGCATAGTTAGCTGTGCTCTCTTGTGAAAAATGCTCTTCAGATTATCAGGGTTTACTTGGGGTAGGCTGCAGGTATTGCTAACCTGTATCTGTCTCTCTTCTGTAGCACCGGTTGCTATAGTAGGTGCTCAAGATCATGTGATAAGTTAGCAGCCATGTCACTACATGTCTTGTCTCTAAATTATGACTGATTTCAGCCTTGTCAATAGTTCAAATTTCAGGTCTTCTTTGTATGCAGGAAATTTGAGAAAGATTAATCAGCAATATGGATTTGTGTTTTGTCTAAATGCTCTGTGCTGTGCAGTCAGTGCATGGAAAACCAAGCTGGTAGAATCAGCTAAAGCTAAAAATCAGCCAGAAATACACTTGCAATCAATTTATCTCTTTCCTTTTGAAGTGCAAATATTGTCTTTAGTTGACGATTAATTGTTTAAAAAGGGTTTAATTCAGAATGGCACTCTAGCTAGAACAGAACCCCATTTTGCAGTTGATTTACTAAATTTGAAACACCAAGTGCTATTCCATGTTCCTTGTTTACTTTCAGGTGGGTTTTCAAGCAGCTGTATGACAAAGGACTGGTGTATAGAGGTGTTAAGGTCATGCCTTTTTCAACTGCATGCAACACCCCACTGTCAAACTTTGAGTCCCATCAGAATTACAAGGTAAGTACACTATAAGTTGCAATCAGATTTCTCTATTGTCTTCAGTTTGGATTTGGAAAGCTTTAGTATTTTTTGCTTGATGGTATATAAGCATACTATTACACTTCAAATTGATAAGAAGAATCTAGGTAAATGGGTTAGTTTTTATTATATTTTGCTGTGTTTGTTTTGATCACTTGATCTCAGCCTTCTTCCCTGTTCTTCTTGGTTACTACTTACATATATATGAAGTACATACTTTGTTTTATTCTGGTAAATTACTTTCACTTCCTCTCTGGGCTCTCAAGATGAGCATTGCACTGTGTTGGGTTTTTATGGTAAATACTTAGAGGAGAGGTGCAGCTGTCCCTGTCTGTGCAGATCTGAAAAGAGGAAGGTCCTTGGCAGAGTTGAAATGTCCTGTGAAGGGATTAATAAGAACTTCCAAAGACTGTGTTTGGTTGTAGTGCAGTAGGATAATAGCTCTTCTCAGAATCACTAATTGAGAAATTCCAGGAAGTGTTTTACCTAATATAATGCATGCTATACTATGTTTTCTAAGATGTTCCTTTAAAAATGCATGACTAGATATAGTAGGTGCAGCTTCTCATTTGCAACAAACTTGTGTTCACATATGTGAAGGCAGAACTTGTGTCCCAGTTTTCCAAATTTCATGTTAGTTTGTGGACAGAGGTTTTGTGTCCTTTCTGATCCCCATCCAGGCCTCCATATCCTTATAACTTTCACTTATGTTGTTGCAGCAGAGAGCTAGCACAAATTGAACATCTGGTCTTTTTTACATCTTTCCTAAAAAAGGCCAATTTGCTCATCAAAAATAGTGTTTTTAAAACAAGTGTTTAAATAGACTTGTACTATAATGTAGTCCACGGATACTAGAGCTTTCAATATTGCTGAGGGGTAATTGACCATACTGTAGAATAAAGGTTTTGTGATTTAAGAAAGTGAGACCTGCAAAGATACGTCAATATTTGTGACTGTCTGACAAATGAAATAATTACTTTGCTCATACTTATTAACTGACATTTCATATAGGCTCAGATTAATGAGCTTTCTTTAGAACAAAGACTGGGTGGGGTTTTGTGTGTGTGCATGCGTGTCCCTTTTCCATAGAGCAAAGCTCTTTTCTTGACTCTTACTGAAATATTTAGATGTTATTTCTTACTCTAGAACCAGTAGAGTGTGTGTGTGGGGGTGTCCTGCTCTGCCACTTCATGAAAAAATTATCTTTTTTTTGTCTGCTAGAGGTGGTATTTTGAAGACTGAAATGTTGAGGGTCTGTAAGCTGACATGATTTATTCTTGGCGAGACCAGTCCTTAGACCCAGAAAGGCAGCTGTTATCTTTCTCACTGTCGAAAGCAGGCTTTGGCTTCTGTATATTGATCCCGTGAGAAACAGGACACAAACCATGAGAAATAGGACACAAGAAGCATGTTTAGAAACTGAGTTAGGTGTCTAATGTACACTTGAGTAAACTATGTCAGCAGCTTGTATTACATTTAACTGAAGAAGTATTGTCTTCAGATTAAATCAGGCATAATTTTGTAAACAGAGAAAATATTATACAATGCCATTACTTGGCAGCCTGGATGTTATTTTTTATGGCTTGTCAGTTGTTTTTATCTACCTGGTCAACTTAGTGCTTCGGAAAATGAAGTGAATAGCCTAAGTGTTGTTTTACAATTGGTAGAGACAGAACTGTAGTGATAGCTCGATCTTTGCTTGGTATTGAGCGTGGTTTGAGAGTTATGTAATATTCATGTTTTACTGTTGACTGCACCAGATGTTCACAGAAAATTCCCTCTGGAGCAGCCCTTAGCTCAGACACAAATAGCTGCCTGTCCCATGACGCCGTTAAATGTTCCGTGATGCTGGACAGAAACCAGAGTGCCTTGCACGAGAAATTATGGGGGGGATAGGACCTATTCATGTGCTTGGGGTCTGTGTGCATGACACCCATTTTTGTTTGGCATTTAAAATTAATAGTGAAAATTTCACATTTGCAAGATTAGAATTGCTTTTTCAATTTGCTTTTCATAATATGTGAAATGTGAATTGACTGAGTAGGATTGTACATGTCTGAAAGAAAAACTTGTTTTCAGGGGATTCTTTTGACTCATTTGGAGGCGAAGTTTTATAGAGTAGCTGACAAAGGTCTCCTTGATTGAGATTTTTTTTTTACTCTTAAATATTGATGTACTCTTGTTTTTAAGTACAAAACCTTTTTTTTTTTTCCCCATGTTAACAACAGCTTCTTAATAAGAGATTGCATGTTCTTAAGTGATAGTTATTCTTCCTTCTCCTTGGTTCTAGAGGAAAAGGTGGGAAAAGGCTTTGTGTAGCAGTATTTGAGAAACTGCTGGTTTTCTTGACAGTTGAGATTGATTATAAACTTCTAAAATGGGATTGTAAGAACGAACTGGTACTCAGCTCTCTTTGGTGTTTTGGCAGCTAATTCCCAAAATCTCACTGCTAATCTGAACTTTTAACTTTCTGGCCTTGTCAGACTGACAGTTTGCACTGGTATGATGCAGGAACATTGCAATCGGTGTTCTCTTAAAGCTTTCTTATGCTGCCACTTCACCTTCCACTGCTACAGTGATGAACTAGGCAAGTTGCAAGATAGGTTTTGGTGGATGGCAGTAATAGTTACTGCTTCTTAGATTTGTATTTTCTCACTAATACGTGCAGTAAACACTCCCCCCCCTTTTTCCTCTTTGACTTTATCTTGTTTTTAAGGACGTTCAAGATCCTTCAGTGGTTGTGACCTTCCCACTGGATGAAGATGCAAGTGTTTCTCTTGTTGCTTGGACCACTACTCCTTGGACCTTGCCTAGTAATTTGGCCCTGTGCGTTAATCCAGAATTGCAATATGTAAAATTGAGAGGCAAGTGTTAACTGAAGGTGACATATAATGAACGCTTCTTTCCTCGGTGCCTGTGAATATGAGCTTATATTTTGTATGATAGACTGTCTTATGCTAAATTTGTAGTACTTTGCTGAGGTTGGATCAGTGTTATTTTGAAGGATGAGATTTACTTCCTATGTGACTGATGATTTCCAGCTGCTGTGCTTTTTTTATTTTACATACATTCTGAGGACTGTTCCCTAAAAAATATTGATAGATGAAATAAAGAAAAGCAAATGTTTTGTCTGTCGTCTTAAAGTCATATGATACTTGAGAGACAGGGAAGTGGCTGGGTGTCCCCAGCCTTTTTTCTTCCCTCCTTTCTTGGGGCTCAGACTCATGAACAGGTTACTGCTATGTCACAGCTAAGTTGCAGTAACTGAAGGTCTCTGTGCTCTTAACCCATAACAGACCCAAGATTTCACATGCTAGTCTCAACCTGACTGAAGTGGGGCTTTTAGCACAAATGTAAGGCAAGGTACATACTGTGGTTTCCAATGTAAGAGTACATTTGAACAAGTGCCTTGGCTTACTCATGGACCGGTTGGTTGTGCCTGACTAAACAAGGTGTATAAGGTGATCTCTTTCATGAGAGCACCCAGTACTTCAGGAATTATATGCAACAGACCATGTAGGGTGCCTAAACAATATAGGCTGTTGCTTTTTTCATTACTGCTTCAAGTAGTTTTCCAGGGTTTGCAGTTCCTTTTTTTTTTTTAGTTGGCAATGGAGTATGTTATGACGTGTCTTCACTTAGGAAAGGAATTTATTTTGTTCTTGAAATGCAGTTGTCTTTAATTATATCTTGATCTACAACACCCCCACCCCTTTTTTAATTTAAATAAAAAAGTAAGCAGGAATTTGGATAAAAGTACTTTTTGCATTGCTGTTTTCAGGTTGTCCCAAACTGCTCACCTTTTCTGGCTTTTCAGTGTATGTTTAAAAAGGGTGTGTGGGGGGGGTAGATAATCAAGTTAATGATGGCATTTAATCTGGAGTAAAAAAATAAACTTAATGTATACTTAATGTTAAACATTAAAAGTTGCATAGGCCTTTACAGTGAACTCCAGGTGTTTGGGTTTTCTTTGTTTTAAGTGAGAACTAAATATGTTTTGGTTTTCAAAGGTTTTAACATAAATTTGGTCATCTCAGAAAGAGTATTGAGTACTTTCGGAAATAACACCTACACCTGCCTGAGATGCTGAGTTGTTGGGTTTGGATGTCTTTGGCCTACAGCCTGCTGGTGGGATAGTGACCCTAAGTTGGTAGGGTAGTAGTCTGAATAAAATTTGTCATTGAAGTTAAGAGATCAGGGTTATTTGGGGGTAGAAAATGGGTTTCCTTCAATGTTTCACTTTTTATTTGTGTTTACTTCCTTTAAAAATAAATCCAAGCATAAAATTGATTGGAATAGTAAATCTCAGACCTAATGTCAACTTAATATTGATTTTTATGTAGTAATTGTCCACTTCCCAATTGCTTCCCTCTGTTTTAGTTACATCTACTGAAACTTTTCAATTGCTTTTCTTTGGCACAATGATAATAGACAAGGTAGGGTATTTCTGCCTCTCGAGCAAAAAGCCACACTGAAAAGTGGACTGGGTTTCATCCTGTGGTTTCTGTTTAAGCTTAACTTTTGAAAAGTGTTCATGAAGTGGCTGTATGGGGAAGAAGTAGCTGGAAACTAGTGATTGATCAGCAGGATTATTCTGGGCAGTTTTACAGCTAATATGATACCATCTTGCATAAATTGAAAGGTTTCGTAATGGTGCAAATGAGGGTATTAAATTGAGATTTATGTAACTTTTTGTTTTATTTTATATTCTAGATACTGCCACAGAAAAGATTTACATTTTGATGGAATCCAGGCTGATAGCACTGTACAAATCTGACAGTGAATATGAGATACTTGACAGGCAAGTACATAAATTATTACACACTTGTTAACTTCCAGTATTTTTATAGATCAGAAGTGAAATGTTTCAAGAAGTTGGATTTTGCAGTTATCTAAAGATGGGTTTCCCTGCATGTGTGTGTATCTTGCAAAAATCTATAAAAGAGATTGAAATTTACCAGAACAAATTTGTCTTGTACATGAAGCTACAAATAGAATAAAAGTTTCACTGGATCATTATATTGCAGTGGGGAAAATAAAAAGGTTCCTTAGTCCTTCCTTTTCCTGTGCATTTTCCTAGAAAGACAGTACTTTAATTTAAAAGTCTCAAAAAAGATTTGAGAATAACAACCCTTTTTCACTGGCACCAGTTATTTTTTTTTATCTTTTTTTTAAACCAAGCAGTTGAAAGCTTTACAACATGTAAAAAACATTTAAAAAAAGGAGGATACATCTTATTTCAGCTAAGCAATTACGTGTAGTCATTGAATTAGGGGAATATAGAGCTGGAACATTTGCTTAAGATGTTGTCTATTCTGATGCTTCATACTGTGACAGTTAAGTAATTCTTATTTTGTATTTCTGTATTGATTTCTTCCCCCCCCCCCCAACTGAATTCTCCTCATCTGTAACTTACTCTGTAGCAATTTAAGCTGGTACTCAATTTATAAAGATGATTTTCAGTGCTGTCATTCTTCAGGGTCGGCAGAACTGATCTCCAGATTTTTTTCTTCCCTTCAGACTCATCAGTAAAACCATTGAATAGTGTCAGTATTATGACAGACTCTGCCAGGATACCACTGGAAATGTTCTTACAGTCTGATACTGAATTAACAACTTTTTTCTCAACATGGTTATACATCCATGTAAATGTACAGTCACACAGTTAAAGTATTTGTGTGTGTCAGAATGACATGTCAAAGTGTCAGAAGTCTTACTAACATTAAGACTTAAATCTATCTGCTTGCTATCTAAGCCAGGTAGTCTGCATAAAAAGAAGTAATTTAGCTTGGTGTGACTTATTCTTGACACACTCATATTGTATGTTCTTTAGCACTTCACTTTTTAGAAACTGTTCAGTCACTTAAAGTTGAATCAGGTTGTTATGCTAGTCTGAGTGGCTTTTAGGTCCATCAGTACTCCATTTCTCTCTTGGAGTATAGGCACTGTGTTCCTTTCCAGTCTTTTGAAACTTCTTCAGAGTGTCTAAAAACTAAGCCTTCTATGAAAGCTGCTCTTATTTTCTTAAATATTTTTGAATTAATTTCCTTTAGACTTAAAAAAATATATCTGCAAGGTAGTTGTGTTAATACTTGTTGATCTATTGTCTTTTGGTTCCAAATTCTTCTTTTAATGGAATACTAGAAATTTAATTTCGGTCTGGTTGCAGTCATTCTGTATCCAGGAATGCACTGAATGGCCTTTCTTGGTGTGGTGTTTTCATCAGAACTGTGAAGTACCTGCTCTTTAAGACAATCACATGCAGGTTTCAGTTGTCATTGCTTATGTCCCTGGCTAGTTGTATTTCTAATTTTTTCCCCCTAACCCCCCAATCTTTGATTTTTTTTTTTTTTAACCTCTCCGTGACTATAAATAAGGCTGCTAGCAATTCCTGTTCTCATTGCAGAGCAGTATATTTTTCTTCTTTCTGTATTAGTGCTACAGCCTTCTGAAGCTGACTTTTTTTTAGTCATGCTCCAATTTTTATGTTATGTAATAAATTAGTTCTCTCAAATGTGAGACGATTAAGAAGTAGCTGGTAGTTGAATGGGTCTTTTAAAGATTTAGACCTGTGAGTATGTAAGGTCATGGAAATGAACTTTCCCATTTCTACTCCTAACTTTTTTCTTTCTTTAGCTCACTTTTAAATTCTCGGGTAGTTAGGCCCTCCAGGGAGAAAATCATTACACTTGCTGTATACCAGGTGGCAGGCTGAAGTCAAGGAATGATCTTACTGAAAATTTTCTGTATCTGAAGTCATCTGAACTTCCTGACTACTCTCAGCCTTCCCCTCCTGTCCCAAACCTGACTCTTCTCTCCCTTTTCCTCCCAGATGCAGATGGTAGGTTTTTGTTTGAGAGCAATGGGAATACTAGTTCTTTTTTTCACAGATGAGATGGCTACCACCTTTATCAAATACTTTCTGCAGCTTTGCACAAATGTCTCTGTATATTACTCCACTTTTGGCTGTTGAGTGGCTTGTTATTTTATTTAGCACTGGTAGATATAAAATGATTGATAAGCATTTTCTTCCCTTTGTGTTACATTTCAATCTATTTGCATATTAAACACTTCCATTTCTTTACACTATTTTCTGTTGTCTTTTTTTGGATTCTGGAGAATCCCACAAATTGATTTCTGATCTCTTGAGAATGAAGGATTACTATAAATGAGTCTGTTATTACTAAAACTTAGGTCTTAAGAAAGCAGCACTGTATAAATTTTCAGTTTGAAGTTCAGGACTTTGATAAACAAAGTATTTCAGATATCAAAAGAGAAAATCGGTAATGTGATCCACAACCCTTACCTTTCACTTACTTGCATTAAATAAGAATTTAACTACTTTTTCTTGTTGTTGTTTTTTAAGCCAGTTCTAGTGCTTCATGTTCTGTGTCTGAGCATTCCTACATCTGTGTGGCTGAGCACTGGGGTGCTTTTCTCTCATCTGATCCCGATTAAGCATCTCAAACATTCCTAAGGCTGTTTGTAGTATATATAAACCATCCACAAAGCTGTGGCTTAAAATAGAAATCTCCCCTTTTCCTAGTGGATATTATGTATGCTGAGCTGAGGAGTCATGCTCTTTAACTTGGCATTAAATACTGCTTGAGTTCCTTTTTGTACAACGAAACAGCTTTGTAGGGCTCCCCACTTTGAAGTAGTGAAATGTTTTATGGTTTGACCACTGTTTTGGAAGTCGTGGATCAAGAAGAGTATCGGGAAAGACCACAGCTGTGACACATTGAGAGGTAGCCCATCTATTAAATTGAGTTGTGTTTTAACTAGACTTTTTCCTGAAATGGAAGTGTCAAGCACTTTCAGGAGAGTTCTGAGCAGTGAATCCCAACCTAATCACTGTGTTGACTATTTTCAGAAGCCCGAAGGCATCCAGATCTACAGGTTCTATCTCTGTCTTATCTGGCTCAGTTGGTTCATCAGTCAGTCCTGTCTGTGTTGGATCTTTCTCTGAGATGCCTGTGGAGAGCTTGGATACCTAGTTTGAGGACAAGAAAGAGGCATCCAAGCTTTAAATGGTGCAATACCCTGTGTCACAATCTTCGGTGCATATAACTTTTAGGTGGTTTGGATCAGTGCTTATTTAGTTCTGTTGAACATGCTGAGCTATAGGGCTTTGTTGTTACCAATATTAAATTGAAATTGTGTGTTATCCAGAAGCTTCTTGCCCAGCTTTACCAGAAATCGTTATTAATGCTTAATTCCTACATTAATTTACAATGATTACTTGATTGAAAGACCATCAAATACAAGCATATCTGTTGACTGTTAGCAGAGATGCATTAAGACATGTTACGGTTTTTGTCCAAGTCTGAATTGCCAAAGAGGTATAGAAATGGGAAGCAAACTATAGAGAAAATACTTTTTTCTTCACCTTATGAAGTCAAATTCATTTAGGGATGGGGAGAAAGGAAATAGGAAAAAATAGCTGACTAAGAAATTTTCAAGTTGTTAATTTGTGTTCATGTAAATCTTTCTCCTCAGGTTTCCTGGTATTGCTCTTAAAGGCAAGAAATATAAGCCACTCTTTGAATATTTTATTCAGGTAAGTGAACAAGTTTGGTGTTTGATACAGGATACAAAGACAAATGTAAAAATAATTCTCGGTATTCTTTGTTTATATTATAAAAGTCTTGCATCCTAATAACAAACCCCATGTTGTATTAAAGTAGTTCAAAATCCTAGTGAAAGGTTGAAAAACAGAAGGTTGACTTTTTTCTATATTTTTTCCCTTAAGTTTTAAGTACACCCAGAGTAGGAACTCAGTCATAAATAGTAGTTTGACTTCAGATTGCAGAGAAGCTTCCAATTCACATTAATAGATAGGCAGTATTCTCTCAACTTTTCATCTGGTGAGCTTCTGTCATCTGTCTGTTAAGTCCATGAATTTTGTATTCACAAGAGAATGACTTTGACTGTGGAAAACAGTTGCAGACATGTAGTGTTTTCCATTGAAAAGTTAAAAGCCTTTGCTAAAATAATTACTGATATATCTGGTTTTTATGGATGTCCTCCTGTGCAGCATTTAAGCACTGCCTAACTAGTGTAATTCATAGCACCGCAGATGATAATAGAATATGTAGCAATAAGAGAGGGGGTAGAGAATTTATATATTTAAAAAGAATTTCTAATTAAAAATGGATTAAATTTTTCGAAGAGTTGAAGTGGATTACAGTACTGCTGGACAAGCAGCTGTTAACTTGTGTAAGGGATTTGGTCATTTGTGACTACCATCTGTTCTGAAGCATGTGCTGAAGTTGGCAAAGGTGGGAAAACCTCTGCAGGGAGCAGGACCTGTTATTTCTAGAGAAAGGTCAAACACAGCTGAATCTGAAAAATGGGACTGCAGGTGTAAAGGCTTGGAATGGATTTTTTGAGTCCTGCTGTACTTCTAAGGAGCAGATGGGCATCTACCTTTTTTTTTAAATGGATGCCTTATCTCAAAATATCCCTCTTTAGAACAAGCCAGCACTAATATTTTGTAACGTATTTGCTTCAGCTGTGACTGCAGTAATTTTTTTTACTACTTTTGTATTAAGGAGTAGAAAGTAGCTCTTTTCTCATTCTCTACATACTGAACACACTGAAAATTGTCAGATCTTTTCTTGGCAATGTTTTGTGTTGTTTTTGGGGTTTTTTTTTGTTTTGTTTTTTACTTGATACCACCTTCTCATTCTCTGGAGGAAATAAAGAAAATACATTACTATAAAAGCAAGCTTATTTTTTAAAATTAGAAAGTACAGTAGGCATACAAAAATGCAAGGAGACTTCTGTATATAGAATCCCTGTAGTTTTCTTGATTGTATCCTCACTTACAGGAGTGTATTGATTTGTAGTCTGTTAAGCATAGAACTGTGTGAAGATCTGTGGCTTGAAGAGTAATTGACTATGAAGCCTTCTGGAGAGGTCTTAGATTTAATCACATTTGACACTGTTTAAATGAAGTGTACAGCCTGGGCATCTTAGCTATGGGAAATGATTAAATAATGTTAGGAATGTCACATTTTACTGTGTCACTTATTTTTGATGCAGTTCTTTACTCTTGCGGGTATCTAGTGCCTCTTCCACGTTCTTAAGAATTCTGTTTTGCTATATGTATATATACACATATATATGAAAAACGTATTTTTGTGTTACAGTGCAAAGATAAAGGTGCCTTTGCTGTGGTAGTAGACAGTTACGTGAAGGAGGAGGAAGGCACAGGTGTTGTTCATCAGGCCCCCTATTTTGGTGCTGTGAGTATGAACTACATATCTTTTGTTCCAACACACATTGCTTGGCTTTCCAGCTACTGGGGATTGTCTGTCATGGTGACTGTGACATTAAATAATCCTCCCATTTGCTGCTTAAAAATATAAGAATACAATGTAGCATTGTATTCTAATGAGTTCTTGCACTCACTAGTGCCTTTTGTGTGCTAGACTGGAGACTTTAGGTGTCCCTTGATGTGGTTATTGTTGTAGTATGTGAAGTGAACTCACTATTGTATCTTCTGAGTGTCACTGGTCTTAGCTTTTCTCAAAGTCTAAATTTACAGCTTTGAGAAGAAATCATCTGCTACACTGATAAAACTGGCTTTGCTAAGTGGTAATTTTGGATGGTAACAGCAGTTCTGCTCAGCACACATTGCCCCTCTTCAGTGTGTCAATTTCATTACTCATTGGGCTTCTACAGAATGAAAAAATGCTTTGACTTTATCTCTTGGTGTAAAAGGATTTTGTTGCACTCCATTCTTTTTTTCTGTCTTTATTGTCCTTTCCTTTAGTCTATTCTTCTGAAGGTTAACAGGGATAATTTTTCATGGATTTCATAATTTCAATTTTTAGATACATGAATTAAATGCACTGGTTTGGACTCATTGTCCTTTTTGTATAGTGTCCTGTCTTCAGTCATCACCCAAAGATGCCTTCAAAAAACTTGCAGTAGAGCTGCCAATGCCTAGCAATTATCAATCCCTGGACCACGTGCTCTATCATAATTTCCAGAAACTGTTGGCATTAGTAATAGGCCTCTCTGTATTCATGTGAAGTATCCCACCCTTTTCTGTCTTTTTTTCTGCATTTTTCTGAAAGGTGCATTCATTGTGATGTTGTTTCCATTGTCAAGATGAACATTGATATGAAAAGATGACCCAGCTTAATACAGCTGTGAATACAGAAAATCAGACTGGGCTGCATGTTATTAGTTAATAAAGAAATTTACGGTGACTGGTAAAGTGTCTTCAGAAGTCTGAAGCCTATCACACTACTTGCACCTCAGATATTCCCCTATAGCTAATCTTGCAAGGACTTGACTGAGGGGTGAGGGAGCAGGCTTGGTTTTGAGGCATGAGCTCTTGCTGTAGGAGATGGAATAAAGGAAGGGAATAGGCTGCTAATGGAGAAGGAGCTCTGAAAGAAACTTTCCCTTGGCTGCTGTATTGTTTTGTTGTGTATTTGCACAATACAGTTTAGTTGTTAGAAACAGCTTGTTGGAAAGCCTGACTGGCCAGTTAGAGCAAAGATTATCTGCCCTCTTTCATTTGATTTTATTATAAGCCCACAGAGATTTGAGTAAACACACAAGGGAAAAAAACTTTTGTTTCTCTCTTCTGGGAAGTCAGCAATTATCTTTAAGACCATTTTTTAAAAAAAAGTGAGAGTATCAGTTAAATGCATTGGAAAGAAAAAAATATATAAAATATTTGTGCGAGCAAAAAGAACACTAACATCACAAACAAAACTGCACTTCTTAGCTAAGGAGCAGCTTGACTTTATAATGCATGATGCATAGACCTGAGTCAACCGGTTATACTACCTTTAGAAGAAAATTGCACAGTATATGTTGCACTTAATGCTGCTACCTTTTTTCTTTTGGGATACATGTAGTTCACTTTTGACAGCTCACTGATTATTTTTGTTCATAAAGGCTCACAAAGGGTTCTGGTTTAGGTTCAGAAATTCATGATTGTACAGTAGGCTCTGTATAGAATACTGAGTGTTACGTGTATTGGCATTAAATGTTAGCCTTTAAATAGACAAGTTTAGGTGAAAGAAGGGAGATAACTCATGACTGTAGACAGGACTGTCTTCCTAATTAATTGGCTTCTCTGTGAATTCCTTTACTGTTGTGTTGAAGGTGAATAGGAAGGAGGAAAAGGGTAAGTGGAGCAGGAGGCAAGGGTCAGAGGAGAAGAAAGAACACTGTCCTTCACAGAAAGTGTCATATCTTGTCTCTATCCCTTCCCCTCAATATAAGTAAGTCCCTTTGATAAACAGGGATAGAAAGTAAGGGTTTTCTTAATTCTGCTTACTGATACATACTCTGTATTGCTGATAGCTTAGAAATGTATCTTTCTCCAACAAAATTTAAAGTGAAAATTCACCTTCATTTAGCTCCAGGATATGTAGTTTCATTGTCTTGTGTGATGCTTTTGCCAACTACAAGCTGCCACACAATATCAGAGCACTCTATTATTTCAGTTCAAAATAAATCAAAATTAAAGCTCACAGAACAATACAAACCTGTATTAAAAACTCTGTAAACTCATTGTACCTCCAGATTAACGTGACACTAAAATTCGGCTGCTTGGGCATTTCATCGTATGTAAGATGTATCTACACTCAACTTAAAAAACTTTAATGACATTTTAATTTGCATACAAGCTCTATAATTCTAGTGCCTGCTCAGGCTGAGTCACAGAAGTTTCATAGATATGTTACTGTTGCACTTTCTTTTCAGTAAATTACAAAAGTATACTTGATTTTTGTTAAGAGGTACTGAAAGTGAACCTTTTATCTTCATTTTTTTTTTTTAAATATCAGATAGAAAAGCTTTGAGTTCTCATCAATGAGCTCTTTAATACCTTCTGCTTCATTCATTTTGTGTATGGTTTTTAACTTGTGTGTAATCTTTCGAGAGATCTAATCGTGGCAGGGGTACAAAAGTGAACACTATGAATTCTATCCTGGAAAGAATTGAAATTTGTCATAGCTTTCTGGTAGAGCTTAGCATTTGTGGATTTCTGTCTGAATATATTGTTGGGTTGTGGTTACTGAAGCAAATCTTGATTAAATCAGATGGCAGGTCAGTCTGGAAAGCTTTTACATTCAAGTTTGAGTTCTTCAAAAGAAAGGAACTAACTGTAGAAAACCAAAATAGCAAAGCCCTTTATATATCATTGGCTGCATCAGTGATGCAAATCAAATTGAACCACCTCTTGACCTAGGTTCTGCAAAGTGGAAGGTTTGTTATTATGTTTTATCTAGGTTGTGAGTGTGCCAAGCTTTGTAGTTTTTGCTGGCTGCTTCTTCAAAGCCTTTTGCAATTTACTGCCAAATCAGGGTTGACATTAGTTCTGTCATCTGGCCTACATTTTAAATACTGCAGTCTGCTTGCTGTATCTCAGCAATAATAGCTGGTGAAAGGTCAGCTGAGGATAGGTTTGTCTCGGTTAATCTATTGACTGAAGAAGCTGGCTGACCAAGTGGATGCTGAATAATTGTGATGGCTATCCACAGCTGCTAGAGAGTGGAAAGACACCATGGTCTAGAGAAAATAAGTGCTGTAGCTGAAGTGGTTTTTCATTTCTACGTGTAATGCCTTGGTACATGAAGTAGCCAACTTCAATATCACTATGGATGAGTTTCGTCATTGCAAAACGTACTGTGGATCAACAGGCAACATCTGCCAGATTTGGCTTGAGGGAGCCTGTAACTACAGGGACTAGTGGGTAGGTTTGGAAGTACAGGATGAAGACTGCAGAAAGGATCTGGAAACTGCTCTGTCACTCCAAAGTGGGCTCACCTGTGTTGATTATATCTAGGAGAGGAGAATTCAGCTAGCTATGGAGCACTTGCTTATTTAATGCTTATTTACACACTTGCTTCTGGTGTGGTCTCTTTGATCAAGGTGGACAAATTGCTTTAGAGTGCAACTCGTATGAAATAGCTGCTGCCTTTTATGAAAGGTAAATGAGCTCTAAGCATGGAGAAGGCTAACAGTTCACCTGCTGCCAGTTTTGGTGGGCAGGGTCACTTCAGGTTGTGTTTCACACTACACAAAACTTCAGTTTTTGTTCCTGAAGTCTCTGGTTTCCCCTGTTTCATCAGAGCAGCAATACAGGAACCCCCCC